ATATGAAAACCATAAAACTGGGGATGAACTCTAACTCTATCGGAACGTCTAAGAGGTAAGGATTCGTCAATCGGTTCAACCGGAGTTTCCTCCTCGGGTTGAATGCCAGCGGTAGAGGTTCCTTCATCTATCGACTCTTGAATCTCTTCAAGTTCGATTTGCCTCCCACTGTCTCCTTGGCTTATGAGTTCTCGCTCTCGGAAAACTCCTCTCCTCGCAACAAAGACAACATTGTCTTTCGGTCTATAGAAGAGATATCCAAAGGATGTCTGCGGGTAGCCGATGAAAATACATCGCTCACTTCGAGGTTCAAGCTTGTCGTGAGTATCTCGTCTTACGAAAGCCTCGCAACCCCAAACCTTGATATGTGCCAACGAGGGAGCTTTCCCCGTCCACATCTCGTGAGGTGTTTTGGCAACCTTCTTAGTAGGGACTCGGTTAAGGATATGGGCGGCAGTCTCTAAGGCATACCCCCAAAAGAAGATAGGTAGTGAAGCACGACTCATCATAGAGCGAACCATATCCAATAAGGTTCGATTACGCCTTTCTGCCACACCATTCAACTGCGGTGTCCTAGGAGGCGTCAATTGCGAAACTATTCCACACTCCTTGAGATAATCGTGGAATTCAAGACTTAGGTACTCTCCTCCTCGATCGGATCGAAGCATCTTGATTTTCCTGCCCAATTGATTCTCCACTTCATTCTTGAACTCTTTGAACTTTTCAAAGGTTTCTGACTTTTGCTTGATTAAATAGATATACCCATATCTACTATAATCATCGGTAAAAGTCACATAGAAGCGGTTCCCATCCTTCGTGGTTGATCTAAAGGGTCCACATACATCGGTATGTATTAGGTCCAATAGCCCTCACCCCTTTCACAAGTATTCGTGAAGGGTGACTTAGTCATCTTTCCAAGTAAACAAGACTCGCATGTGTCATCTTCCCTAAGGTCGAATGACTCCAACACTCCATCCTTTTGGAGTTGGGCTATGCGTTTCTTGTTGACATGTCCAAGACGGCAATGCCACAAGGATGCTTTATCCAAACTAGTGGAAGAATCAATATTCAAAACATCATTTCCTAAGTTATCAACAATCATAACAGTTTCATATATTCCATTACATGGTATAGCTTCAAAGTAAAAGACACTATTTAGATAAGCCAAATAGAACCATTCTCATTATTAAAAGAAAATCTAAATCCTTGTCTATATAAACCATGAAATGAAATGATGTTTCTAGCCATTTCTGGCGAATAGCAACAATTGTTCAAATCTAAACATAAATTATTCCTAAGCACTAAAGAATACACTCCAATCTTGGTAACAGGCGACGATCTTCTGTTCCCCATGATTAGATTGATCCTTCCTTGCTCCACATCCCTACTTCTTCTTAGTCCCTGCACATTTGAACAAATGTGATAACCACAACCGGTGTCAAGAACCCAAGAAATAGCATGATTAGAATCGTTAGATTTAATTGTGTATATACCTGCGAAAGATGGCTTGATCTTTCCTTCTTTGATTGCTTGCAGGTATTCTGGGCAGCTTCTCTTCCAATGTCCTATCTTGTGGCAGTGGTGGCACTCTGCCTCCTTCGGGTTAGGATAGGGCTTAGAGGGATCAACTTTGGTCCCACTAGAAGAGGCACCATCTCGGGCTTTAACCTTGCGATAGTTCTTTGATGAAGCCTTCCTCTTCTTTCCCTTTCCTTGACCAATTGCCAAGACAGGAGCAGCAGACGGATTGGGAGTAGGTGCAACAGACTTGTCTTTGAAGTTGCTCTCAGCGACCTCAAAAGACCTTGGAGTTTGCTTAGGGTGACCTCCTCTTTGTTCATGTGGTAGGTCATCCTAAATTGGTTGTACATCGGAGGCAAAGAGTGAAGCACCATGTCGATCGCCAAGTCTTCCCCAAAGTCAACATTTAACTTGCGAAGGCGATCGACATACCTTTGCATCTTTTGCAGGTGCACGGTAAGAGATTCTCCATGACCCATCTTAGCGGAGATCATGTTAGTGAAAATCTCATAACGCTCTTGTCTCGCGTTTTGGTGGTATCTCTCCAATAAGTCTTGATGCATCTCGTATGGATACATGTCCTCGTAGGACTTTTGGAATTCGGAGTTCATGGTGGCAATCATGATGCAATGTACCTTCGTTGCATCTCGCTCATGAGTCTCAAAAGCGGTGATTTCAGCCGGAGTAGCGATTTCGGGGTTGATCTTCTCAAGCTTTTCATCGAGGACATACTCCTTATCCTCATAGCGAGCAATGGTGCGAATGTATCTTATCCATTCGCTAAAGTTCGTTCCATCGAAGGTGACCTTTTGGCAAAGGCTCATCAACGTGAAAGAACTAGCGCAGCGTTGTTTGTGTTCGACATCTATAGAAAGGACAAAGATAGATTAGAATAAGAATCCCTAATTATCACCCAATAAGAAAAATTAGGGTTAGGATCCAACAATAACATTTACATATTAGAAAAGGGATGCCGTAATCTAACATGAAAATAAATTGAAGGTAAGTGAATGACGATTCACTAATTCTCCATTACAAAACCTAGACTATTAGTCCTAAGTGTATTGAGAATTCCTAGGTTCGGATGAGATTCATTGAAACTATTCAATGGCATGTTTAAATCTCGATATGCCCCTCTTGTTTGTGACTGGGATGCCGAGGATCACAAAGCGGGTGTGAATTACCATGCAAATTCACATGGTGCCTTCATTGTAACGATCACCTATTCGATGTGCCGGTAAACCACACACGCTCCATCGAACTATGATAAACAATGAATCACCCTTTGCCACCTTTGCTTAGAACCAATTAGTGTGCCGGTAAACCACACACGCTCCACTAACTTCTTAGCAAGGGTGCAAAGTGTAATTTCATGGGATTGCATCAATTCACTTTTCCTAAAGTAACTAAGATTGGGAAATTTTTAAAACGTGTAGTTACTTTGTATTTCTTATTATACTTTTAATGAGAGGATGAGGTTGCCCTATCCTACCCGTTCGGCTAACGACCCTCCACCAATCAAGCAAGCGGTGGGTGTGAGTGTACACCCATTAAGCGCCATTTTATAGGCCGCAACCTTATACCCACCTTATAGATCGGCTTCGTGAATGAGGCCTACTAACGGTAAGACTAGCATTTAGTTATACATATATATATTATTCTAGTAATATCATATTAGTATAAGGTTGTGTTTTAAACCTTTTAAAACGTAGGGTTTGAAATTTAAGTTGTCTAAATTAAAACTTTTAATCACAAATATAAATTTCAAAACTTGAGGGCAAGTTTTAAACATTTAAAACATGGAGGATCAAATAACAAATAATTCCAATTAACAATTAATATCCTAATTATCTTTATTTGATTTATCCAAGATTTCTTTTAAGATAATTATCAAAATAATTAATCAATTATCATATAAGGAAATTAAATATTTTATTAGATGATAAATATCTTTAATTAGATCAAGATTATAGTCATATATATCAAAAAATCGGATTAGGGTTGATCTAATATGATTAAGGTAAGTTTCCATAAGATAAACATGAAAAAATCCCGGTTTTGCCTAATCCTGACGCCCGGACTCGCCGAGTACACAAAGGGACTCGCCGAGTCAGGCCTACTCGCCGAGTCCACTTTGGAACTCGCCGAGTCCATGACTCAGAAACCCAAAAATCGAATTTTGCAGGTTTGTTTCAGTTAATCAAGCAACAATTTAAAGAAAACCAAGCTAGGCTCTGATACCACTGATGGGTTTTAGCCATAAGAACTTTCCTATGTGCGCATGCAAAACCCTAATGCTCGGATCTAGGCTTTCTAATTAAACATGCTTTGAATCCAAGACTTCTAATGGCTAATTAGGTTAAATAACAACATTGAAATAGATCTAGAATCATACCTTTGGATTCCTTGTTGATCTTGTTGTCTTGGAGCTTCTAGAGTCACAAATGTCACTCCTCTAATGGCTTACAAACACCAATAGCAAGAAGATGATTTAGGAGAGAGGAGAGGGGAGGAATTCGGCCAGAGTATCTCTACTTTAGATGGTGTGTCGAATTCCCTCACCCCTAGGGTCTATTTATACTTGTAGACTCCTTAAGGATTACAGCTTTAACCCTAATTGGATAACTTAGACTTTAAGTTGATCCATATCCTTTCCTTGATAACCCTATGGACGATTTTGGCTTATCCATGCCCTAGAAATCGTCCATCCTATCATGGATAAGGATTTATAGTCTAAAGTGTAACTATCAAACAATTGATAGTTTATACCCTCTTATTTAATTAATCTCTTTAAGTCACCAAATTAATTCCAATTAATCTATGACTTATATTAATCAAATAACCATATATTATTCCTTATAATATTTACTCTCTCAAATCATCCATCAAGTTGCTATGGTGAAGGCAACCCAAAAGGATCATGCACAACCGGATCAAATACTTGCCTAATATAGTTGCAGCCTTAGACACTATTCCAACAGTATATTCATTGTGATGTTATTCAATTTAAGTCACAACAGCCCTCGGATGTTTACGCCGTCTGGGTTGAGGGTGTGACAGGTTGGTATTAGAGCTCTGTTTATAGTGAACTAGCATATCTAACCATACATTGATATGCAACTATAAACCAAAAAGAGGGACTAACACAACTCTGAACAAAACAAGTAAAACACAACGATAAAAACATCTTTGCTTGTGTGCATTAGGAAAAAGAACATAATACCGAATCAAACAAGATAATGCTAGCATCTCGGTTAAGCCAGGACTGTTCATAGTCGTATCAAGGAGTGGACATAGCCTAATCAACTACATTTCCTCCAAGGCACAACTATCACATGTCTCGAAGAAATCGTGATGGCTAGGGAACCTAAAAATATACCCACTTTATCACCAAGAATAGAACATCAGCTCGATCTATACAATAATTGTAGCGTCCTAGGAGTAATGATAGTTTATTTGTATACCTCCTCTCAGTCGCTATGGAAGGGGAGCAGCAGGGCATTCAGTTTCATCAGGTCTTAGTGGCTCATGGGACGATTGAAGATGAGCCTGAAGGAGATCAAGGGGGAGCACACGATATTGGACCTAAAAAGGAACAGCACGAATACGTGATAGTTGATTTCGATTATGATGAGCTGGACCAGGAGCAAGACGAAGAAAAGTGCGTAGAGGAGGCGTGTAGTGAACCTCACCAGTCGGAAGCCTCAACAAACTTCCACATGTTTCAAGGGGTGGATACAGACTATCTGCGCTCTCTTGAGGAGGCAGTTATCAGCCTGAAGCTTCAACTCATTATGGCTAAGGCAAGGGCTATGCGAGCCGAGCGAAAAGTAGAGGTAATCACCCAAGAGGCGGATGAACTGGCTGAACTTCTGGTGCGTCACCTCGACGATTGAGCGTCGTCGTCATCCTTACTAATAGGACCTACTCTACTACCTGCTATATAGGTCTCACCGTACGAGGGACTAGTCATACTCGTCTTTAGTACATTGTCACTAGGATCTATGCTATGTACCATCGACTTTATGTTTAAGTGATTACACTACTCATAGGTTCGTTACGCTGCCGAACTTGTACCGCTTATGTATGCTCTTCCGAGCAAAATTTTCATGTATTAAAGTGTGGATAATATTAATGAAAAATTTTATATGTTTACTGTGATGTTTCAATCTGCTATGTGTTACATATCCATGATTGTGTGCTAAGTGTGAAATTACTTAAGTTTGTGCCACACACCTAGTTTATAGGATCACAACCTCACAAAAAGCACAGGCACTCAACGTCTTTCCGTTCCATGACAGAAAGATGCCTCAACGACCCAACCGCGGAAACCCTGGGCCAACCCCACCCGAGGTCGACTCAGCTGCATTCCAAGCAGCTGTATATGCTGCGGTCACCGTAGCGATGGCACGAATTCACTAGGGGAACAATGGAGGAGTCAACGGACAAGGGGCTGGAAGTTCAAACAACAGGATAAATCAAGGACCTACCAAAACATGCTCCTACAAAGATTTCACCAACGCCAAACCACAAACCTTTAACGACATTGGAGGAATGATTACCCTGAAACGATGGATCGAGAAGGTGGAATCGATGTTCGATATATGTGACTTCCTTGAGGAGATGAAGGTGAAGTTTGCCGCATGAACTTTCGTTGACCAAGCACACACTTGATGGAACGGACACGTGGAAGCCAGGACACTCCCCGTAGCAAATTCAATGCCATGGGCACAGATGAAAGAAATGTTGATGGCCGAGTACGGCCCTCGTGGAGAAATTCAGAAAATGGAACAAGAGCTGTGGAATCGATGAACTGGTTACATGCGTGGGGCAGAGGGCTCATAGTACCCCCTTTTCTTGATCCAGCCTTTTCTTAGCTTCGGTAGTGAGTCACCTATTAAAAAAAGGGGCAGGCCCGCACGCCTTATTTGAGACTACTAAGGCAGGCATACTGGTTCTGTCGCAAAACTTCAATAAGTCATAACTTCTTCGTTATAAATCGGATTTCGATGAGGTTTTCGCCTAAACATTTCTAACTAGATAATTTACAACTTTCAATAACATTATTTGTTTACTTATTTGCAACTTAAATTTAACATTTTCGTTAATTTTAATATTTGACTTTTGATTGGAATCTCATAAGACTTCCAATACTTCCCGAATGATTCTAAACATAGTTTTACTTCAATCTCTTAAAAGTATTTTGTTAGAAATCAACGCTCAAATTCACATACTATTTAATAATATTTACTTTTAAGTTATCAAGCTTACAAAACAAGATAATTATACAAGGTTATTAGCATGTATGTTACAAGTACCTCCTCCTTTTGAGGATTTCGTCCCCAAAATTACAACAATTTAAACAAATGGCGATATTTCGCTCTTATCTCATTCTTATTTTCCCAAGTATAAGTTGGGGCTCGATGGAGTTTCCACTTGACAAACACCAACTCCACTTCTTTATTACATAATTCAATCTCTCTTTCATTTATGATCTCTTCAGGCTCTTCTACATATCTTATTTTATTATCCAGTTTCACCTCGGATAACGAAACTGTTTCATCATATATGCTCAAACATTTACGCAGATAACTCACATGAAACACATCATGAATACCTGCCAAATCTTCAGGCAATTGCAAGCGATATGCTTGTTTACCAATTCTCTTGATGATTTTGAAAGGACCAAAAAATCTAGGACTCAATTTTCCTTTCTTCCCAAATCGCATGATACCTTTCCATGGGGACACCTTCAACATTACAAAATCACCCACCTAGAATTCTATGGGTCGTCTTCTCTTTTCCACATAGGACTTCTGTTGATCCTAAGTCGCTTTCATTCTTGCTCGTACAATTTGAATCTTGTAAGTGGCGTCTTGAATCATTTCAGGGCCTCCAAGGATTTTATGTCCTACATCACGCCAACATAATGGAGTACGACATTTACAACCATATAATGCTTCATATGGTGGCATTTTGATTGAAGTTTGCTAACTGTTATTACACGAAAATTCGATAAGAGGTAAGTACTTGTCCCAGTTACCTCCAAATTTCAAGACACATGCACGAAGCATATCTTCCATTATTTGGATTGTTCTCTCCGTCTGACCATCTGCATGGGGATGATAAGTTGTGCTGAGAGCGACCCGAGATCCTAATTCATGTTGCATACTTGCCCAAAAATGAGAAGTGAAGCAAGTATCACGATCGAAAATAATCTTTAGTGACACACCATGTCTCGCAATAATTTCATCTAAGTATACTTTTTCATATTTCTCCATTGGAGCTGTTTCACGCATGGTAAGAAAATATGCACTCTTAGTTAGTCGGTCGACAATTACCCAAATAATATCATTTTGTCTCGCAGTCTTTCGCAATTTGGTAATAAAATCCATGGATAACTCCTCTGATTTCCACATGGGAACATTAATACTTTCTGGACTCCCATATGGCTTTTGGTGTTCCGCTTTGACTTGTAAGCATACTAAACATTCTTGCATGTATCTTCCAATGTCTCTCTTCAACCCAGGCCACCAATAATCAGCTCATACATCATAGTACATTTTAATTGTACCACGGTGTATTGACAGCTTAGACTTATGAGCTTCATCTAAAATCTTCTGTCTTAATCCACCAATATCTGGAATCCATAGCCGATTCTTAAATACTTTCAGTCCACGTGGATCATCAAGTAAAATATTAGCATAATCTACTATCCCTTCCTCCTTCACATTTTTTGGCTTTAAGACCTCTAATTGCCATTTCTTTAGTTCATCAAGAATACTGAACTTTACAGTAGTCTGGGTAATAACATAACACACACAATTTTGATAAACCTTCCTTCTAAGTGCATTGGAAAATACATTGGCCTTTCCAGGATGAAACAAGATTTCACAGTCATAGTCTTTGATCAACTCCATAGCTCGTTGTTGTCTCATATTCAAAGTTTACTGACTAAATATATACTTGAGACTTTTGTGGTTAGTAAACAATTGGCATTTTGTACCAAAAAGATAATGCCTCTAATGTTTTAGGGCAAATACTACTATAGCTAGTTCGAGGTCATGGGTGGGATAATTATTTTCATACTCTTGCATTTGTCTTGAGGCATAAGCTATTACTCTACCACGCTACATCAACACACAACCGACTCCCAGTCTTGAAGCATCGTTATACACGGAAAAATAATTATCACCTTCTGGGAGTGATAAGATCTGAGCATGAGTCAAAAGGTATTTTAGAGTTGAGAAAGCTTTTTCTTGGGCTTCACCCCATTCGAACTTTACTTCCTTTCGTGTAAGACTCATGAGAGGTACAACTATACGTGGAAAATCTTTAATTAATCTTCGATAATACCCCGCAAGTCCCAAGAAACTGTGAATTTTAGAAGCATTACAGGGCACTTTCCAATTATGGATGGCTTCAATTTTGGTAGGATCTACTGATATATTGTCACCAATAATCACATGACTGAGAAATTGAATTTGGCGAACCCATAATTCATATTTGGAGAATTTAGCGTATAGTTTCTCCTTTCGAAGAAGTTCTAATATTTCACGAATATGAATGGCATGATCAGCATCAGACTTGGAATAGATTAGAATGTCATCAATGAATACGATGGCAGATTTATCGAGCATTGGACGGTTACCCAAATCATCATATCCATGAATATAGCAGGAGCATTTGTCAAACCGAATGGCATGACAAGGAATTCATAATGCCAATATCGTGTACGAAAAGCAATATGTGGTACATCCTGCTCGTTTACTTTCAACTGATGATAGCCAAATCTTAAATCAATCTTCGAAAATTGCTAACACTGTAAAGTTGATCAAACAAATCATCAATGTGAGGCAGTGGGTACTTGTTCTTGATAGTTACCTTATTTAGCTCACGGTAATCAACACACATTCGCATCAAACCGTCCTTCTTCTTGACAAACAATACTGGAGCACCCCAGGGAGAGGCACTCGGTCGAATAAAGCCTTTGTCAAGTAATTCCTGCAGTTGGATCATCATTTCCTTCATCTCAGCCGGCGCAAGATGATAAGGAGTATTTGCAATTAGAGCAAAACCGGGTACAATCGAAATTCTACTTGCATATCCGGAGGTAGTCCAGGAAAATCATCGAGGAACACATTAGGATATTCATTAACAACGGGAACATCTTTTACAACTTTCTTTCCCTTTCGATATAAGCTTACGAGCTTTTAGGAAAGAGATTATTTTAAAATTTTAAATCTTTATTCACTGTAGACATAAGTAGGATTCTCTCTTTGAATAGGAATGTGTACTATCTTTTCATAGCACAAGAGTTCTGCATGGTTCTTTGACAACCAATCCATGCCGAGAATAATATCAAAGTTAGGCAAGGAGATAGAATCAGGTTAGCAAGAAAATTATAACCTTCAATTTCTATGACACAATCACTATAGAATTTATCAGCAAGTAATGATATACTTCCCATAGTATCTACATGAAATGGTTGTGCGAGTGCATAGCAAGCAATTTGAAAGGAATCCGAAAATTCATGAGACACAAAAGAATCTGAGTCACCAGAATAAAACAAGATATGAGTAAGTCTAGACTTAACGAGAAATGTACCGGTCACAGCATTTGGGTCTTCACATGCCTCCTCTGTGGTAATTTGGAATGCACAACCTTTAGCTTTTGGCACCTCCTACTTTTTAGTTGGAGTACTCTTTGGGTGCTGGATGGAAGCTTGACTTCCCGCAATTTGACTAGTAACTGTAGGGCAGAAACGCTTCCTATGGCCAGTAACACCACAAGCAAAGCATGTATCATTCTTCATCAGGCAAACAGACTTCATGTGGTCTATTTATCCACATCCATAACATACCACTGATCCTTTTTCTAATCTGCATTCTCCCTG